TCATCACATAATGCCAAAATTTTCTGATAAATATCTAGAGAGTTTAGCTAAGAAATAAGTAGATTATTAAAGCTGGCATTAAAATAATATATTCCTGCTTTTGTTTTTTAACTTAAGAAAATTTTTTCTGGTCTAATGATAGAACCAGTGAGGCCCAAGACCAACTTCTCAGGCCACCAATCTCTGAGGACACTTGCAGCATTTTTTTTTAAGTTACCTAAGAGTTGTTTATTCCTTAGTCATAAATGGGTGATAATGTTTAGCAAAAAAAGGAAAAAATTCTTTTGCAGTTGATACATTCATAAGAATTACCTGTTTTACTCTATAAATGAAGTATGTTGACAGGTTTTCTAATGTTACCTGCTTGGAATGAAATCTGGCTGATTACAATGCATTTTTAAAGAAAGCACACTATTAGATTCAGTAAGCTAATATTTTATTTAAGATTTTCTAAAAATCGGCCGGGCGCGGTGGCTCAAGCCTGTAATCCCAGCACTTTGGGAGGCCGAGGCGGGTGGATCACGAGGTCAAGAGATCAAGACCATCCTGGTCAACATGGTGAAACCCCGTCTCTACTAAAACTACAAAAAATTAGCTGGGCATGGTGGCGCGTGCCTGTAGTCCCAGCTACTCAGGAGGCTGAGGCAGGAGAATTGCCTGAACCCGGGAGGCGGAGGTTGTGGTGAGCCGAGATCGCGCCATTGCACTCCATCCTGGGCAAAAAAGAAAATCCTCCTCCTCAAAAAAAAAAAAAAAAAAAGATTTTCTAAAAATCTATTTATAATTGAAATGGATCTAATTTTTCTTTTAACTATTCTTACTCTAATTTTAGAATGAACTGGGAATCTTCACTCTTTTTCCATTTTCTAATGTGTAATACACACACACATGACACACGCACACACATACACACCCCCCACCACCTCCAACACACACTCACGTTGTTCAGTTTGGTAGAAATGACCTATATCACCCCCAGGTTTTTTTGTTTATTTCAGTTTTTTAGATGAAGAGAGTCTTTAAGTATCATTTCAGTTTCTTTGAAACTTTCTACTCTGTTTCTTCTTGATTTCAATATTGATAGTTTAGTTTTCGTTTTCCCCAAAAGAATGGCTAACAGTAAAAAGACTGATAATACCAAGTATTGGTGAGGATGTGGAGCAATAAGGCTCTTACACATTGCTGGTAGGAATTTAAATATTATAACTACATAGGAACACTGTTTCATACTATCTATGAAAGTTAACCGTATATGCATCTGTATCACAGCAATTCTACTCCGTATATTCCCAAGATAAGTAAGTACCAAATCCACCAAAAGACAGACAAAAATAGCCATACCAGTATTATTCATATTAGTCTCAAAGTGGAAACAATTTGACAGTCTCTCAACAGTAGAAAAAAATTGTGGTATATTCATACAACAGAATGTTACAAACAATGAGATGGAATAAACTACTGCTACATATAAGAATATGAATAAATCTCACCAATATAATGTTTTGTGAAAGAAGTAAGGCACAACCAACAACAGCCAAGCCAAGAGCCAAATCAGGAATACAATCCCATTCACAATTGCCACATAAAGATAAAATATCTAGGAATATAGCTGACCAAGGAGGTAAAGATCTCTACAATGAGAATTATAAAACACTGCTGAAAGAATCAGAGATGACGTCAACAAATGGAAAAACATCTCATGCTCATGGATAGGAGGAATTAATATCATGAAAATGGCCATAATGCCCAAAGCAATTTACAGATTCAATGCTATTCTCATTAAACTACCAATGACATTCTTCACAGAACTAGAAAAAACTGTTTTAAAATTCATTTGGAAGCAAAAGAAAGCCCAAATAGCCAAGGCAATGCTAAGCAAAAGGAGCAAATCTGGAGACATTATGTTACCCGACTTCAAACTGTACTACAGGGCTACAATAAGCAAAATGGCATGGTACTGGTCAAGAACAGACACACAGACCAATGGAACAGAAGAGAGAGCCCAGAAATAAGGCCATAAACCTATGATCATTTGATCTTTGACAAAGCTGACAAAAACAAGCAATAGAGAAAGGATTTCCTACTCAATAAATTGTGCTAGGATCACTGGCTAGCCATACACAGAAGACTGAAACTTGACCCCTTCCTTAGACCATACAAAAAAATAATTATCCCAAGATGGGTTAAAGACTTAAATGTAAAACCCAAACCATAAAAATCCTGGAAGACAACCTAGGCAATACCATCTTGGACATAGGAATGTGCAAAGATTTTACTTAAAAGGCATTAAAAGCAATTGCAATAAAAGCAAAAATTTACAAATGGGATCTAATTGAACTTAAGAGTTTTGGCCAGGCAAAGTAGCTCACACCTGTAATCCCAGCACTTTGGGAGGCCAAAGCAGGTGGATCACCTGAGGTCAGGAGTTCGACACCAGCCGGCCAACCTGGTGAAACCCTGTCTCTACTAAAAATACAAAAAAATTAGCTGGGTGGGGTGGTGGGTACCTGTAATCCCAGCTTCTCAAGAGGTTGAGGCAGTAGAATCACTTGAACCCAGGAGGCAGAAGTTGCAGTGAGCTGAGATTGTGTCGTTGCACTCCAGCCTGGGCAAGAGAGCGTGAACCCATCTCAAAAAAAAAAAAAAAAAGAATTTCTATACCACAAAAGAAACTATCAACAGAGTAAACAAACACCCTACAGAATGGGAGAAAATATTTGCAAACTATGTCTCTAACAAAGGCCTAATATCCAGCAACTATAAGGAGCTTAAATGAACTTACAGGAAAAAACAAATAATCCCATTCAAAAGTGGGCAAAGATCATGAACAGATATTTCTTTAAAGAAGACATACATGTGGCCAACAAGCATATGCAAAAAAGCTCAATCACTGATCATTAAAGAAATACAAATTAAAACGACAATGAGATACCATCTCACACCAGTCACAATGGCTATTACTAAAGTTAAAAAATAACAGATGCTGGCAAGTTTGCGGAGAAAAGGGAACACTTATACACTGTTGGTGGGAATGTAAATTAGTCTAACCATTGTGGAAAGCAGTATAGCAATTCCTCAAAAAGCTAAAAACAGAACTACATTCAACCCAGCAATCCCATTACTGGGTATATACTCAGAGGAATATAAATCATTCTACCATAAAGACACATGCATGTGAAAGTTCACTGCAGCACTAGTCACTATAGCAAAGACATGAAATCAACTTAAATGCCCATCAAAGTTCACTGCAGCACTATTCACAATAGCAAAGACATGGAATCAACTTAAATACCCATCAATGACAGATTGGATAAAGAAAATTTAGTACATATACACCACAGAATACTATGCAGCCATAAAAATGAACGAGATTGTGTCTTTTGTGGGAACATGGATGATGGAGCTGGAGGCTATTATTCTTAGCAAACTGATGCAGAAATAGAAAACCAAATATATTTTCTCATTTATAAGTGGGAGCTAAATGATGAGAGCTCATGAATACAAAGAAGGGTACAACAGACACTAGGGCTTACTTGAGAGTGAAGCATGGGAGGAGGGAGAGGAGCAGAAAAAATAATGATTGGGTACTAGGCTTAGGACCTGGATGACAAAATAATCTGTACAACCAACCCCCTTGACATGAGTTTACCCGTATAACAAATCTGCACATGTACTCCCAAACCTAAAATAAAAGTTAAAAAGGAAAGAAGGCACAAATGAATACAAACTGTATGATATCATTTATACGGAGCTCAGAACAGGCAAAATTAAGCTATCATTGTTATATGTAAATTTTCAGTGGCTCAAAAGAAGTAGTACTCGAATATAAATTTTCTCTCAGGAAGGCAGCTTTACTTTCTGCAGAAAGTCTACACTCACCAGCAGTTTGCCACGAGAGTACAAAGAACAAAGGAAAGGCAGACATATTTATCCCCTGCAGACTGGCCCCTACTGCTGCACCCTGACTCCATTGGCTGGAGCTGGGCCACACAATCTAAATTATTCTGATTGGCTAATGGCTCAAAACTTTTCCTAAAAGGGTAAAGGCAAGAGAGAACAAAGGAAAAGAGGAAGTAACTTACAAAAAACTTAAGGAAGCAATAACATTTCCAAATGATGAAGGGGAATTAACTGTGGGCTGAGGCCTGCCTGGGCTTGTCCAGACATGTGAGGGCAAATATCTGGGCTACAAGAACGAGGAACATAGAATATACCTATTTCTTTATTAAAAGTAGCAGCGGCCGGGCGCGGTGGCTCACGCCTGTAATCCCAGCACTGTGGGAGGCCGAGGCGGGTGGATCACAAGGTCAAGAGATCAAGACCATCCTGGTCAACATGGCGAAACCCCGTCTCTACTAAAAAAATACAAAAAATTAGCTGGGCATGGTGGCACGTGCCTGTAATCCCAGCTACTAAGGAGGCTGAGGCAGGAGAATTGCCTGAACCCAGGAGGTGGAGGTTGCGGTGAGCCGAGATCGCGCCATTGCACTCCAGCCTGGGTAACGAGCGAAACTCTGTCTCGGGGGAAAAAAAAAAAAAAAAAAAAAAAGTAGCAGCTACTTAGGATTATTAACAAAAGGCTTTAAAGTAAATCAACCTTTGAAGAAGCTATTATTCATCCTTGATAAGCCAAGAAGAAAGCTTTGAAGAGGAATTCCTATTTACTTTTATTTTCTACAATCATGATAGAGGTCAGAACAGTGGGAGGGGCAACAAGGTGGAGGAGACACGAGAAAGCCTATTGGAGGGCTAAGAATGTTTTACATCTTGATCTGGGTTGTGGTAGGTGCTTACATACATACATATGTTTATCCATTGGGCTGATATTTAAGAATGTATGTTTTTTCTATGAAAGTAATACCTTAATTTTAAAGAAAGCAAGTACTGGCCACATAGGAATTGATAAATTTGACTACATAAAGATAAATTATAAACCTAGGACTCACAAAATTTAAATTTTAAGCTTTGGTATTTTTTCTTTGTTCATTTGTTTATTTTCCCCCTGTATCCTCTGTTCAATGTTGGCTGCCACAGTGAGACAGACAGAAAGCATGAGGACACTTTTTTCTTGCTTCTCTAGTGGAAACCTTAGCAGCAGACAGTAACTGCTCCAGGTCTGTCATACAGATATGTTTCCTCTTTACTACATTTGATTTATTTTCCTTTTATTTTTAGTAGACTATAATAATGATACATATTTATAGTATACAGAGTGATATTTTGAAACATGTATACAATACATAATGTTCAAATTAGGGTAATTAGCAAATCCGTCACCTCAAACAGTAATCATTTCTTTGTTTTGGGAACGTTCAGAATCCTCTCTTCTAGCTTTTTAAAAATACTCAATAAATTACAGTTAACCATATTCACCCTACAGTGCACTAGAGCACTAGAACTTCCTCCGCGTATCTAGCTATAATTTTGTATCTGTTGCTCAACATATCGCCATTCTCCTTTCCTCATTCCACCCTCCCCAGCCTCTAAGAATCACAATTCTACTCTCTGTGTCTAGGAACCCCATGTGTTTTAACTCCCACATGTGAATGAGGGCATGTGATATTTATCGTTCTGTGCATTTCAATCAACATAGTATCTAGGCTCATCCATGTTGCTGCAAATGGCAGGATTGTATTCTTTTTATGGCTGCAAACTTCAGAAGGATTTCCCTCCCAGCTCCATGTGTGGGCTGTTGCTGTCAGTAGCTGCACTCCAAGGCTTTTGAAAATTAGCAATTTTTTAGTGGCAATGAACGTTAGAAACCCTGACTTGAATATTATTATCTGAGAGAACTAAACAATTTTCCAAATAAAAAATCAAGATAATTATTCAGACATGGAATGTTCCTGCTTTTCAAATGAGAAAACTGAAGCAAAATGTTAAATGACTTCCTAAGAACAGGCAGCAAGACCTGACACACAGGAAAATCTAATCATTTCAAATTCCAGAAGGCTGAAATGTACCAAGTTTAGATTTGGGGATAGATATGCATTTCGCAAAGGAAAACTCAGGTATTTCCGTTGATCAGAGTATAAAATACAAATATAACCGAAAAGGTAACTAAGAATAACTACAACTAAGAAGTAACTTTTTTTTTTTTTTTTGGTCACCTAAAATCTTCAACAAATTATATAGAGAGGAAAAGCACAATACATTCAATTTTTAGGAAGTAATCACAAATTCTCTCTTAGGGTGGTGATTCTTATCTTTCTTTTATGGTGAGTGCCATAACACCCACATTTCTTCCCAGTCTTTTTATTGTTCTCAATCAATTTCCCACTCTCATCTCCTAAGAGATCAGTACTTTACCTGCCCCAAATGGGATGGTGGTAGCAAAATGTATAAACCATAGTCTTAAAGTAGCAAGGCTTATGCTTCATACTCAATTACCTGTAGCACAATCAATACTTAAATACTCAAGATGAATCAATGCTCACACTATACTCAGATGGCTCTCAGTATAGTAAGCTATACTTACTGTGGTATCCTTGACCTCCAAGAAGAAGGCTCTGATGAAGGGGGAACCAGAAAATTATTTGGCCGCTTATATTATCACCGTCGCTATTTAGGAAATATTTCTTAATGTGGCTTCAAGCAGAAGCACACGTTTTCAATTTGGAAGTAAAATAGCTTTCATTGTGCTTTATCTAAGCTGCCTATATCATATATCATCTGATGATGATATATGTCTCTTTTAACATGGACAGCATTGCCCTTCGTGGCTCACACTCACAAGATGACAAGTTAAAAAAAATAACAACAAGCTTTTTTGATTGTTCTTCCTACGCTACAACCAAAGCGCAAAAACAAGACAAAATGAAACAAAAAGCTTCAGGAGAAGGAATTTTTTCAGTATTCTGCAAATTATGTCTAAATTGATAATCCAGACCTCATCTCATGACCAGAAGTTCAGTTTTTCTATTGTAAAATGTAAATCGGAGCCCACCTCCCAAAAACATACAATAATGAATTATGTGAAAGAAAACATTATATAAAACAAAATGCTCCAGAAACAGGGTGTTGTAACTGACTCATGTTTCTCCACAAATTCCTTCTTGCTTTCTACTCTTGTCATTAGAAACTTCCTGAAAATCAGTTGTTTTTCCAACCATGATATTTAGAAAATAACTAAACATTTCTGGGGTGGTTGAAGCTCCCTTGCGGGTTAATTCATGATTCTGAAATTAGTCCATGTCACTGCAAGGTAGAAAACATAATAGAAAATATAAGAGGTTGCCCGTAATCCCAGCTACTCAGGAGGCTGAGGCAGGAGAATTGCCTGAACCCAGGAGGCGGAGGTTGCGGTGAGCCGAGATCGCGCCATTGCACTCCAGCCTGGGTAACAAGAGCGAAACCCTTTCTCAAAAAAAAAAAAAAAAAAGAAAAGAAAATGTAAGAGGGGCAGACACAGTGGCTCACGCCCATAATCCCAACACTTTGGGAGACCGAGGCGGGCAGATCATGTTGGTCGTCATCTGACCAACATGGTGAAACCTCCCCTCTACTAAAAATACAAAAATTAGCCAGGCATTGAGGTGCACATCTGTAATCCCAGCTACTCAGGAGGCTAATGGCAGGAGAATTGCTTGAACCTGGGAGGCGGAGGTTGCAGTGAGCCAAGATCATGCCACTGCACTCCAGCCTGGGTGGCAGAGTGAGATTCCGCCTCAAAAAAAAAAAAAAAAAAAAAAAAGAAAGAAAGTATAAGCAACTATTGATGCCTCATATATCCTGAAAGCTATTATTTTGTTCATTTAATTCCTAACACAAACACTTGCTTTTGTGATTGCCCTCTTCCTCTAAAGCCTAAAGTGGGCATGGCAGCAATGTTTGAGTATGGATATGGGTATGCGTGAGAAGAAGGAATGAACAGTGTGGTTATCAAGACTTCCAGGCAGTTGACATTTGCTCCATTATGGACTGAACTACTATATTCCTTTTTTTTTTTTTTTTTTTTGAGACAGAGTTTCGCTCTTGTTACCCAGACTGGAGTGCAATGGTGCGATCTCGGCTCACCGCAACCTCCGCCTCCTGGGTCCAGGCAATTCTCCTGCCTCAGCCTCCTGAGTAGCTGGGATTACAGGCACGTGCCACCATGCCCAGCTAATTTTTCGTAGTTTTAGTAGAGACGGGGTTTCACCATGTTGACCAGGATGGTCTCGATCTCTTGACCTCGTGATCCACCCGCCTCGGCCTCCCAAAGTGCTGGGATTACAGGCGTGAGCCACCACACCCGGCCCTATATTCCTTTTTTTTTTTTATTTTTTTTAATTTTAGATTCAAGTGTACACGTGCAGCTTTGTTATACAGGTAAACTCGTCACAGGCATTGTTGTACAGATTATTTCATCACCCAGGTACTAAGCCTAGTACCCAATAGTTATTTTTGATGTCAACCTTTGTGAATAGACTGTGGCTCTTTGTCTTAGTCTTACTAACTTTGCTAACAATAATATAATTGGGTGGTCCTTCGGACTCAATTTTGCCCCCCTACCAAAAAAAAAATTATTTGTTGAAGCCCTAACCCCCAGTGTGATGGTATTTAGAGGCAAGGCCTTTGGGAAGCAATGAGGTTTAGGCGAGGTCATGAGGGTTGGACTCACATGATGGAATTCATACCATTATAAGAAGAGACAACAAACAGCCTGCCCACTCTTTCTGTCCCTGCACTTGTGCACGCAAAGAAGAGGTCATATGAGCACACAGTGAGATGACAGCTGTCTGCAAACCAGGAAGAGGGTTCTCACCAGACCCGATCCTGCTGGCACCCTGATCTCACACTTCTAGTCTCCAGAACTGAGAGAACATAAACTCCTGTTGTTTAAGCTACCCGTCTATGGTATTTTGTTATTATAATCCAAGCTAAGACAGGTGGAAAGGTAGAGATATTTTGAGAAGAGCCATTTCTACAAAAACAGAGTTGTTCTAAATGAAATAGACAGTTACTTCATCTTCTTTATACTAATATTTATGAAAGTTTCATTTAACACCACGTGGACAGTGCTCAGGCCTGCCACCCTCAGAACAGCAAACAAAAGGACACGATTTGAGGAAAAGAGTAGTGGAGTAGTCACAGAGCCTCTCAGAAGATGGAGCTGTCAATCAATTTTCCGCACATGATGTCCTACTCCAATTGTAGCAGACAAGAGTAAAGACACCTCCTGCTCCTGTGAAAAAGCTGGAGCCCTGCCGATGGAAATGCCGACTCTGGGGTCAATGGTGGGCTGGACATTTATCTGCTGCAGCCCTTCTGCACCTGGGCCCTCTTTAGGCCTTGTACCTTGCAGTCCCCATGCCACTGTAGCACCTGGTAAGCTGAAGTGAGGTATTTGAAGAGGTCACTGGCCTCCACAAAGAATAACTTAAAAGAAAAAGGAAACTGCTAAATTCCACTTGACAAACCAGGTTTGTTCAGTTCTGACTTTTGCAAGTGTGAAACTTTCTCTTTGGCACCATACGATTCTGCTACATTAGGGCTCATCAATGCTAAGATACACAGCTAGGTTTACCAGCTGCCACTGCTCAAGAATGAAAGAACCTCTCGGAGAGAAATCCATTTCTGATAATCTCACAGTTTTCCTTGACTATTAAAGAAAATAGAATACAATGTCAGTGCCATGCAGGCAAGTATAGACATGGAAATGAAAGCTCTGTCTACAACTCAAGATTTATTTGTTTTTTAACAAAATTGATTGGATCAACTTGAGATAACTGCTAGAAGGTACAGCATTTTCCTTTTAGATATGTCACTTGTTTTTGTTTCCAAGCTGGGCTCAAAAGGAACATTGCTAGTGTTCTTCCAGTGGCACAATGCAGTTCTAGAAGAGTTAAAATAAGAAACCCTATCTGCTTAATCTGCCAGAAAACACAGGAGAGGAGCAATCAGCTCCGGGAAGAGTTGCTCTGAATGAGGTGTGCCTGGCTGCTTTAGGCCATGCTGTTTGTCAGTCTTTCAAAATTCAAGTCATTACCAGATGCTGATCTACTATAATACCGTGATATTTTATCTGATTACACTTACCTGATTGTGCCTTATCTGCTATTTGCCTTCCCATGCTTCCATGTATATTAAATGCCGGTGCTTTTATTATTCTGAAAGCTAGAAAGTGTTGACTGTTCTGAATATAA